ATATATATATATATTAAATTGAGAAGGCCTAGAAGTAGAATACTTAAGTAGTGGAAGGCAATATTTTTGTACTTGAAGAAAGAAAAATTCAGTGCAGCTAGATAAGGGTCAAGGAAAAATTCTCCCACAATTCAGCAGTGATTAAGCTGAAGAATAGACAGGTTCTGATGAAGGGCAACAAATGATAATGATAGAGATATGAGAAGGAAAAAAATAAACAAGATCGGTGAAATACAATATGTTCTGCTAATATTGGCACTGTTCCCAAGAATGCAGCCACAGGGGGAGAACCAAAGTCACATAACTAACCTTTGATGGTAATCTATTAAGGGTAAATAAAGAAGGAACAGGAGAATTTCTATACAAATATTCCACAAAACAACATTTAAAAAAAAGGCTTAAAGTTGATTATTTGCAAAATACCCAGGATGCCCAAGTCCATAGTTCAGGGGCTGTATTTCTTGCCTCCTAATAAAAATGGTATTTCCATTTTATTTTTATGGCTCTGTAAATGCTGCAGAAATAAGGATAGAGGAGGCAAAAGGGGATCAGGGTAAGCCCCCAATAAAGGAGAAAAACATCTTTTTAAAAAAGCTTTTTATTCATGAGCAAAGGAATAAGTTATATCATTTTCTTCTAATTAGATATTCAACATTGAATATCATATTTGTAGTTTCCTGTAGCAAGATGCACATTCTGACTTATGTGGCTGTTGTTTATATACTTGGTTTATACGCTTAGCTGTATAAACAAAAAAAGAAGATGAGGTTTGTGGTAGGTAGAATGATACCTCTTCCAAAGATGTCCATGCCCCAATCCCTGGAACCTATGTGTTAAGTCATGGGGCAAATGGGACTTTGCAAATGTGGTTACAGATATAGTCTTCAGGTGGAGAATTATCGGGAATATCCGGCTGGGCCCAAACTAATTGCATGAGTCCTTAAAAACTGAGAACCATCCTCAGTGGATCAGAGAGATATTATATGAGAGAGACTCAGCCTGCAGCTGCTGGCTTTGAAGATGAATGAAAGAGCCATGATGCACGCTAGAAACTGAGAACTACCCTCAGCTTACGGCCAGCACAAAAATGGGAACCTGAGTCCTACAGCTGCAGAGAATTGAATTCTGCCAACAACCAGAATGAACAAGGAAACAGAGAGTCCAGAAAGGAATTCAGCCTTGATGTTAGCCTAGTGGGATGAGTAACGGTCTTTGACCTACAGAACTGTAAAATAACAAATGCGTGTTGTTTTAAGATTCTAATTTGTGGTAATTTTGTTACGGCAGCAATAGACACTTCTACAAGGTTAATTATTATATCTTGTCCCTCTCACATTTTATAGAGCACAAACAGTGCCTTAATATTATATAAAATATAACTATATTATATATAAATGTTATATAATGAATTGTATATAATAAACATAACTATTTTATTATTAATAACTGCTAAAATTTATTGATTATTTTCTTGTCCTAAAAACATACACCAAGGGGCTTACCATTATCATTCCCATTTTACAGATAAGGAAACTAGGCTAAAAGAGAACAGAGAGTAATACTTAGGTATTTCTATTTCTTTTTTAGATTTTCAAAGCTGTAGAAATAACTTGTAATGGTGTCTATTATGATGGACCAATTTAAAGAGCCTTCACATATAGTTCAGCTAACCACCCACAGCTATGTTAATTATATAGACATTGCTATAAATATGGACTTGAATTTTTTTCACCAATGTTAAATTTAAACAATAATTAATACAATTTATTTTAAAAGCAAAAAGCTGTGATGTGGGTACTCAAGAGATCAAGCTTAAGAAATCAATCTAATTTTATATTGTTCATTCAGAACAGATCTTATTTATTACCCAAAACACTCCCCACTCAATTAACATTTCCCTTCAAACTAAAAAAATATGTATATATATATATATGCATATATATATATATATATATATATATATATATATATATCCAATCCGAATAAATGGATGTGAATAAGCTCTTACCCTTTACTTCTTGTGCTTTACGCCTCCCTGCACAAAGTATAACACAAAGTATGTTATAAATATATTGTTTAAATAAATAACTGAATGCAAGCAAGTTAATTATTTAGCAAAGAAGCTACAGGATTGCTTAAAGATGTTATCTGTATGCCAGGACCGGTGTTTATCCAAGGCTAACAGATATTTAGAAAAGGAAGGAAACAAATGCAATGTTTTCTAGTGAATGACTCTAATTTGCTTGTCTGGCACAAGTAGAGCAGCATCAGCATAGAGCATCCTAGGACAATAATGATAATGAGGAGGAGGGAGAACACAGCAACCTCTAGGGGTTGCATTTCGCACTCAGATTCTCTTTGAATCCCCCACTAAATGCAGTAGGCCTCTTTGCAACATTTTTCTAAGAGTGGAAATTCAGGCTTTTCAAGGTCGGGTATCTTGTACAAGGACACAGGTAAAGCATAGTCTCTAGATATGAAGTTGTCTAAAATTAGCAAATTCTCAGCTTCATACATTTCCGTTTTTCACGATTTCTCTTATTTAAAAGGTTCTATCCTGAAGTTATTTCAGATCTCCATCAAGGAGAAAAACTTCATTAACCCAGTTAGTAAATGTATAAACACTATCTGTCTTGTTTAAAAGTAAGTGGCATTGTTATGATACTTAAGTATATTTTGACCTTTGAAATGTTTCCATTATTTCTTTGCTTTTAGTTGAGTCTTACATATGCTTATTATGATTACTTTTGCAAAATATATAATGTGTCACAAAATAAAGACACCTGGTGCCTTATTTCTAATATTTTTAAATCAACATAATAATGGGATGAAATCAGGGCTACATGTATATATACACATACGTATAAAATATGTATCTGAATAATATATATCTGAAATTATCTAAGGGATATATATATATATATAATATATATACCAGGGGTGCCAAAAAATGTGTACAAGTGGACACTTTGGTCAATGTTGCTCAAGCAATAGTTTGACGTAATCAGAAGTGTTTGGACGCTGATGGTAACCACTTTGAGCACCTCTTGTAATTGCAGCAGTCAAATGTGACTTGTATTCATCTTTTGTTATCGGTATATATTGAGTATTACAATTTTAACAGTTTTTCTTTCTTAAAATGTGTATACATTTTTTGGTACTCTGTATATATATCAAGGTCATATATATATATTTTTTTCAGATATATATTAAAGCTATGTATATTTCAGATATATATATATACACACACATATATATAATTGATAGATTGATGTATGTGATATTTGAATTTCAAAAGTTCTCAATCAATTCACATTTTCAAGGTGATTTTTAGTCCAGTTTTAAAAGATAGGCCCTGAAATCATGGGAGAGAGTATAAATATAAATACACATAGTTTCTAGAGGTTTTACCTGAGAAAGTTCTGTTTAACATTTTTACTGTCTTAGAATCCAGCATCTCTACCGATCAATAATTTAATCACCATGTTTACTCATTTCTCCCATTAACTCTTTTTTCTTATTTCAAAGATTTCTTTTGAAAAGTGTGTTTTTATGGAGTGTTAGTATTCGACTCCAGCAGGAATAGCCACATGGAAACAAAGTGTACTAACAGAAACTACATTTAACCCAAGAGGTAAACCTCTTAGTGCTATAACTTGATTTGAGAAAATAATAATGCCTTCTTTAACATATATAAAACTGAAATCCAAGATATAAAAATATGAACTCCAAGATGCCAGAAATTATTTTATTTCTAAATAATAAGATTTTGAAAAATTATTCATACTTCTTTATTTATAAAAAACTAAAATTATTTGTAAATAACATCACAATGGTCATTGTGTATAGGGTCTCTATATTTTGTATAGGTATGAAAATATTCCAGAATTTTTTATAGAATAAAGACAAATCCAGAGTGATGTTTAATAACTTAGCTATTTAAGGTGGAGCAAAATGTTCGACCCAGCACTTTAACAAATACATAATTTAAAAAAAACACAACTTCTGCACATTTATAGTATAGTAAAAAACAGTGCCCATTTTTCATTCTTTCATTCATTACAAAAATCACCTACAATTCTTCAGGTAACATTTTTGTTGGTGAGATAATTTTTTTTTTTTAATTGGGGAATTGGGGGAAGCGAAGCAGACAAGTTGCTGTCCTTTTGTTCTTCAGTCTAGTTGTGGAGGATGTTGCTTCACTGGCCCAAGTTGGCACCATCATTGCACTCTTCCCGGGCGNGAGAGAGAGAGAGAGAGAGAGAGAGAGAGAGAGAGAGAGAGATTATGCGGAGAGGGCCATGGAGGACAAGGCACCCCAAAAAGCAAGGCCACAAGTGTCGCAGCCAAGAGAAGCCAAAGGAGACATGACAAGTAAATGTAACATGGTATCTTTGATGAGATCCTGGAACAGAAAACGACATTAGGTACAAAAGAAAGAGAACTGAAAAATAACAAAACAAACTCCTATGAACTTTAGTTAATAATTATGCTTCGATGTTGGTCCATTAGTTGTAACAAGTGTACCACAGTAATATGGCAGTAATAGGGGAAACTGAGTGTGGAAACTCTGTACTATTTTCTCCTGTTTTCTGTAAATATAACACTGTGTTTAAAAATAAACTCTATAAAAAAAGGAAGCCACCGGGAGGAGCATTAGAGAGGAACCACGTGACAAATTCCATGTCAAGCAGCAGAGAAAGCCCCCAGCACAGCCCCGGCCACCCACAGAATCAAGAGCTAATGAAAATTGTCTAAGCCTCTGTGCAGTGGGGTTGTTGGCTAAGCTGCAATAGGTAAGATTAACAACATGCTACTTTAGCTTGTTTATGTCAATGGCATAGGTTTATTTTACTATATTTAACTTTAAAAAAAGGAATCATTAAAAATTTGATCCCATTGAGAGGAATAGAGGTGTGTACAAAAGGGCCTGCTTTCTGGAAAAGATGATAGTTTGGTTTGAAATATGAATATACAGGTTCTGGGGTCAGAAACTTGGGTTTGTATGTTCCGTTTACCTCCTACTAGGCAGGCGGTGTGTAAGTGGAAGTTACTTCTCGCTAACTAGGTTTTCCTCCTCTATCTGATGGCTTACTGTGCTATGTCATAGGGTTCATGTGATAATTAAAAGAGCTATAAATTTAGGCTCCAAGACACAAAGAATGTATATATTAAATGTTACCCATTAGCAGGCCCCCTAACCAGGCCACAGTGTCAAGTTGTGTCTCTTCACTTTGTCCATGAGGCTGCACGACAGGCCCTGTTCTCCACTGCTTTTCCAATCTAGGTCTAGTCCTGTTAAAACTATATCTGAGCAAATATTAAACTCTCAGTCACTGAGTAATTAATGTCTGTCAAGTGTTTTACACATGCTATCTCATTTCATCTTCACGGCTACTATTCAAAATGAGTACTATTAATTTCTTTTATCTTATGAGAAACTCATGCCTTAAACTACTTAAGTTACCTGCCCAAGTTCAAACACAGAATACATGCTAGAGCTGGGGTCCATACCTATGGTATCTGATTTCAAAGCCCACACACTAGAACGTGCTATTTTTTATTTCTTCCACCTGAACGACTTAGCCCTTCTTTGTACTTATTACTTAAATACTGCCCTAAAATGTACTATTTTACCTTGAGATAGGAAATGCTGGATTTGCCTTATTCTAAAGGAAGTGCTTCATATCTTTAGGTTACTAGGTTAGCACTTCACAAGCTGTTAAAATTATTTTACTCATATGAAACAAGCTAGACATTAACCAGACTGATCTAGGTCAGACTTTTTAAAATTGTTTTACTGTGAAACTCTATTATAAAGGAAGAGTTGAAAAAAATATATATATATAT